CTGTTGAATTCAGATCCTTGTTGTTGTTGTTTTTGCTCTTGTTTATTGCAGTCTAATGTTTATTTGAAATAAGTCTTTCCTTGACCAGTATTGCAAACTTGACCTTTAAGTTTTTGCTGCTTCCATATCTGATGGAACTGACTCTGGCAAAAGTACATGTTTGTTGCAAATCAATTGTTCTTCCTTTGTGCTGAGTTCTTGATGATTACCTGCTTCCAAATATTACTTCACTCAACTCCCCATTTCAGTAGATGATCTTAACTGTCACCTTGGAATAAGCACCCTACTATAGTGTACTCTTTCTTCAATGATTTTGTAAGAAGGAAGGTCTAGATCAATTTGTCCTTCAGAAACATTGTTTTCTTAAAAAAAAAAAACAGTACATTCACTCCCTACATAACTTTGCATAAAACTTACTGTAGATATGTTAATTTATATACATAGGTACAAACTTAGGCTGACTTTCACAGGTACAAAAAATGGAGCCATCCCTTCATTGTACAGTACTGGTTGTTCCTAGACTGAAACTCGGCATCTCTATCTAGAGCTAGGGGAAAAACCTCTCTCAGACAATAATAGATGACAATAGCACTGGATTATCAATACCATTACTTATAATAGTACAATACCAGTATTGTACCAGTATTGTACAAGTCCAGTATTGTAATAGTACTGGACTTTCAAACCAATATTTAAATTAGTACAAAGCAACTGGCGGGTTGAATTTGCACCAAACAAAACTAGGCTATAGTGGGGTTGGACTGTTTACAATCTGGTAAGATTTTTCTGGTCCCAGTTTACACTCATCATCAATTGGAATAAATTGCTGCTTCTGAACATGTTAAGTCTTGTCCAGCAGTTCTTCCTCCTTTTCCAGGGTTGTTTTCTCCATCTACCCTGTTTCTCCAACAGTAGGGCCTCCCCCAATAGGAAGTCCCTGCATGTTTTATAGGCATGAAATGAAATTAAGCCCCTCCCCCCAAATTAAGGCCTATATTAAAACATGCAGAATGGTGGGGGGGCTTGCCATTAGGAAGTACTTTTGTTGCACACCTGGATATGGTGCTGCCTGTGTTGACCCTGATACGAAGTGCCCCACCAACGCCGAGGTCAACATCCAAGCCATCGACACCCACCCGCCCGAAGATGCAAGGGGGGGAAATAAGTCACCCCCGAAAAGACAGCCTAGCCATTTTTTCGGGGCTCAAAAAAAAATAAGACCCGGCCTTATTATATGAGAAACACGGTAGGTCAACTAGCTACTAGTTGTGTCCCTGCTAGCAGTCAGTGCCATTTATTAATCAATGCAATTGAGATAAGAAGTACACTACAACTAGGAAAAATGACATGTTTTAGATGCAGAACAGAGTAATTCCTGAAGGGTAATTGATACAATAACAAAGAATGAATTATCTAAAGGGCTTTCTAAAAGAAGTTCTCTTTATAGATGGAAAATGCTACTTTAAAAAAAAAGTAAAAAAAACCTGAAACATTCTCCACACATGCCTTTCATCAAGCCAAAACTAAATTTGCTATAAAATCTTTGCACATTTCTCTAATAATTAGGAATAAATAAAATATTTAGAAAGAAAATAAAGATTTCTGTGATATTTCTGTCACAGAGGAAGAATAAATGAAATATATTAAATAGTAAGTCAACCTAGGGTAGATTAACCATGTTTATAGAAAGCTGAGATTTCCTTCAAATCGTAGCAAAAATAACAAAATGGCTTTAAAACAAAATCTCTTGCTAGCATTCTTGACATAGTAAACCAGCATGTGATAAGAAAATTAATGTGTACAGATCAAAATCTTTATCAATGATAAAAAACAAAACTTGGAAAACTTACATGTGGAAACATTTTGCCAATCTTGTTAGAGAACACTATCTATGAAGCCTACTGTGTTGCATTAAGAGCAAGTAATAGTTTTGCTCAATTTAAATAATTTTACCCAAATTTGCATTTTTTAAATAAATATGATGAAAAAAATTGAGATTATAGCACTCAATCCAGATTGCTTAGTTCTTCTTTTGGGTTTAACTATTTTTATTGTTAAGATAATGAAATAAATAAAGACAAAAATAAGATGGAACAAAAAGGAACAACTGCTAAGCATGAATAAAAAGTATTGTGGGAAAACTTTTTAGTAACATATTCTTCCCTTCCCTTTCATTTGTTTCCCCAAATGACTCACCATAATTTAGATAGTTACACTTTACACTGAACATTATAGTGAACATTAAAGCATTCTGTTTAAGTATTTTCATCTGTTATTTTTAATTGATCTCATAATTTTTTTTAGAAACTATATTCCAAATGTTTAAATTTGCCCTGAGGTGTAGTATGTGTTATTTAAGGGAACAATTCCTGCATAAATTTAGTTAAGCTCTTATTACAAATTGCCCTTGCTGCATATTTTGGTCTCCCAATCTGATAATGTTGGCAGATTGTTCCTGTTTCCATCTTCCTGTTGTGCCAACTTTGTTCTTGCAGCTGTCAACATATATCTTAGTAAATTGTGATACTTTTCATTTATGTTTTCTGGATTTATTCCTAATAAAAATACTTGTAGTTTTAGTTGAAATGTTACTTTTAGGATTTTCTGAATATTAAAATGATTTCTTTCCAGCACTTTTGAGGTTTCTTTTACACAAACACCACTTTCTTCAACCCTTATCATGGAATTTCCAATATTTATCATTAAATGATCTGTCTAATTTATTAATCATTAAGTGATCTGTCTAATTTATTATTTACCATCTGTAAAACACTGTATGCCATTTTCTCCTCAAATTATAGCTTAACATAAATTTTAATGAATCTTCCATAACCCTTCCTGTTTTTCTTTTTTAAAATTAATTTTTATTGACAGTTTTACAAAGAACATCAAAACTAACACAAACAAATAAAGAGTAAAAACAATAATGAAAGAAAAGAAGAAAGAAAAAAAAGCAAGTATAGGAAGGAATAAGAAATAGAAAGTTTTTGATTTCTTTGCAGCATATATAAGTATGATTTCAAATCCACCTCTTACTCTATGATTATAAAACAAAGATCACACTTCCATTGTCCATTTTCTTCAAATCATCAAAACCACAAATAAGTGCAATTTTTCTGTTTTATGCAAAATAAGGGGTAAACTCCTAAACTCCCAGGTTCCTGAGACAAGCAAGAAAAGCTATGAAAGTAAGAGGGCCTGCACGAAACAAGGGCTCTACTGAAGGTGAGATGCTTCATTGGGCAGACTCTTAATGGTAAGGGACCAAGAGTTTATAAAGCATTTTAGCAGAATGGGAGGGAAAACCCAACAACAACCTATCCACAATATCCACCTTGTATGGACCCTGAAATCTCCTCTTCTCCTGCTCAATAATGTTTCAAATATTTCATCTCTTCTAATATGATACCAAAATGTGCTTATTCTCTCTCTATTTTCGATTTGAAAAGGTTACATAAATAGTGATTTAACTGAATTCTCAGATTTCTTAGAGTTCACACATGTTAAAATCAGAACCACGCCACAGTTTTCTAACTCACAAAATCCCTATATCAGGCTAGTTTTCCTTGATTTAGCACCACAGGTTCAGACTAAATACCCCAAATGGGGTTCATGTGGCTGCTTCTCAACAAAACCCACAACTCCATTTCACTGAGAAAATTGGTGAGGTACAAAATAAATACCTCAGAAGGACACCAGAGGGCGACAGGCGTAAATCTGGAGGAGCCTGAAATATTGCTATTCCTTAAGCAAGGGACCCAAAAATATCTATGACCCGAGGTGTCAAATAAAAGTGTACCCTGTCTTCTGCTCCTTTGTTAAGAAAGGCCTTTTGAGGCTTTTCTGTGTACTTAAGTCAAATAATGAACAGCCTACCAACAAATAACATACAAAATGCCTGGCCAAAAAAGAGGATTTTTAAAAAAATGTAATAGGAAAGGACTGCTTGTCATCAGAAATATTTAAGAAATTCAGATTTTTGGTGTCCGTGTGATGATCATACCCTGATGGATTTGTAATTTATCTAGAGCACTGATGGGCTGCTGGATGGTCGGTGAGGTTCGGGCGAACACCTAGCTATGATCTGTGGCTGGGCCCGTCCACCAGCTCTTGTTGTATGCTTTCCCTAAATAACTAACCTTTCCTCCACCCAGGCAAGTTCTGCGCTGCCCTGCTGTACTCACTGGAGCTGCCTGAGTTGATTAGCTGCCTGTTTGAAGCTGTGTTTCAGCCCCAAAGTGGCATATACGAGTAAAGGGAGCGTGCGCATGCTCACAACCAATGAACCCCTTGTCAACAGAAGTGCAGCCCACCTCTGATTAGAGATCTACCATATTTTAAAGATATCCTGCCAATACATGCAGATGAAATCCTTCATCAATAAATTCCTGCTACCAAAGGCAGGATGGAGACTAAGGTTCAGTACTATTGTGCTCATCCTAAAGAAAAGGCGAAAAGAGGTCTGACCATCCAACAAGAACAGTCCAATGTTAGTTTTGGAGACAACAGTTCTCAGTATATAGATATGACATTTCTTCAGCACTCAATGTCATTTTATTGCTTTCAACTCAGAGAATACAATTTTACCCCATTTAACACTTTGGTGGGCTTTGTGGGATGTAATTCACACATGTCAAAATGTTCTAATAAATGACTAATGATGAGTGACAAAATTTGCTATCAATTATTCACCATGTTTTGGAAATTGGCTCAAAGCTCTGTTGATTAAAAAAGTAAAACTAGTATAGAGATTGAACTGCACTGCTCCCTTGGCACAATTTTTACTTAATTTCATGTTTTGGTATGTGTAGGTTCCATACTCTCTTAATCTTGGGCACACTTTGATTCTTCTAAAATGGAAAATGGTTTTTCCACACAGACTATAAACTTACCTTTTGTGTCTATTTATTTACAGTTGTCTCTGTTCAATCCATATTCATTCCTACTAATTTTTCAGATTCCCCTCCCAAACCACAAATTGGACACAAAATGAAACTCACACTTTTCCAGTGCCATAACTTTTGTAGTCTACTACTGCCGAAACAGCTACAATTACAGCAGGCATGCCATAGCCAACCAAATAGAAGTATTTTCTACGTGAATGTTCACTCTCGAAGACTTCCACCAACATTATGTACAGCTGCACTCCTTCCAAAAACATCCAAGTGAAAGCAGAGAGGAAGAAGAAATGCAGCAGAGCAGCAAACACAGCACAGGCTATCTGGGAAAACAAAAAAGACAAAGTAGAACAGTAGTTATGTGTGTATGTTGATTAAGGGTGGGTGCAAATTATGCAGTTAGGTGACCCTTCTGCTATTTACACATTAAATTGGAGGTATAAGCGTATGGATGGATCTTGTTTTTTTAATTTATACTTTATTTTCAGGATTCAACCATTTAATTATTGTTGCATAGAAAAACCATTCCATTACGATGTCTCACACATGTGATACAGTATCAGATTAAACTACTTGTTTAGACGCATATGCCAACTCACATATTTACATGTGTTCAGTTGGATTTTGGAATGAGCGATCTTTTTAAAATTATAATGCACACTGCAAAACCATGCATTCTGCTTTCAACAGTTTCTAAAGTAGAAAAAGTTGCTGAACAACAACCACACAACTTTTCATTTGCCCCACCCAGAAAATCAGTAGCTTGGTTGATATCCATGTCTCCAAGAACATGGATAGGTGTTGCCATTTCTAAGGATCTTAATATACAGAGAATGAATGAGTTTGCAAATAAAGAATGGTGAGAAATCCTATAAATGCAGTAAAGCAGGCTTTGTTACATATTAAAAGTTAACTATTTGTGAGAAAAGAAGTAGGCAAGCTTCTCCTACACTCTCACCTTTGAATTAAAGACCTCAAGACATACATTTGAGAAAGTTTGTGGAGACACTATAAATTATCTGCTTTATTACTATAGTACCATCATTTGTCTCAAACATGCCTCATGTAAAATCTGGTTTACTGGGGCACCTCCACCTTCTTTTTTTGGTGTGTTCAACTAAGTGTTGACACCTGACAACTGTCTGGACAAATCTCTGCAGGTTTGTTGTAAGATTTCAGAAGTGGTTTGTCCATGCCTGCTTCCTAGGGCTGAGCCTGGGCCAAGGTTCACCCAGCTAACTTTGTGTCTAAGGAGGGACTGGAATTCATAGTCTCTTGATTTCTAGCCTGATGCCTTAATCTCTACACCAAACTAACTAACTAACTAACTAACTAACTAACTAACTAACTAACTAACTCTCTCTCTCTCTTTCTCTCTCTCTCTTTCTCTCTCTCTCTCTCTCTCTCTCTCAAGAGAGACTACATCATAATAAAAAAGTTTTGTTTTGTTTTCAAACAGTACTTTACCAATAGTAAATCCATCCAAATGTTGCCAAGAAAACTGCAGGGCCTTGTGTCTAGGCACAGTTGCCAGGAGTCAACATTGATATGAAGACACACACACATACACAGAAATACTAAATGAGGTAAGGAAGTGCTTCAGAATATGAAACAGGGGAACTATGCAGTTTAATTGAGGTATTGCAAGAAAATAACTAAAAACAGCTACTTTGGACATTATGCATTCTTATAGAATAGAAATTGATAAAATATTGCAAGTCTAAGCAAGATAATAGTTGAGACACAAGGCTAAAGGCTTAAAACAAAAACTGTAACGGTTCAATATAATAATGTGCCATGGGGGATAATTACATGGTAATAGGATTTCAGATAAAGAATTCTGGAATATAATCAGCAGTGTGATGTAGCTACAAAAAGGACCAGTAATTTTTTTAAAAAAATCCTGAATCAACAAATGGTTTCCAACTCAAGATAAGTAACTGCTCCATTTTATTGGTCCAGATCCCTCCTTCTGTCCAATTCTGAATACCATACAAACTGGAACAGGTTTAGAGAAGAGCAAAAAAATGATCAGGTCCTACAAGGAGAGAATGTAGATTCTGGGGATGTTTAGCATTGAGAAAAGGATGAGAAAGACTATAGTATTAGCTTTCAAATGCGTAAAACGGCATTACACAGAAGGTTATCTATTGTCACTATATGCGAGAAGATAGATTCTAAGTGAATGTTGGGGGGAAAAAGTGCTGATGACAAAAGAAGATTGGTGAGGAAGGGGAATCAACTATCCAAAGAGGTTACAAGCCTGAAAGCTTAGAAAAATAAGCTCTGGTTCCGGAGTGACCGACTCAGATTGGATCCTCAAATGGGTGCCATGTTAGTGTTTGGCTTTCCAATACCATATCCTGACATCAGGTTGGAAACTGGCTTCTCATACTATTATTAAACCTCAAATAAAGGAATCATGAGGGAATTGTCCAAGGAGTCATGCTACTATCATCATATGTGAGGAATCCTACCTTTGATACATTTTTGGAAAGTTTCCCTGTTACTCAGTTTTTTGGCCCACAAATTAGGTGGGCACTTTAAAAAGAAATTTGTATCTAATAAATTAGTAAAACTAGAATTGAATGTCTAGAATTCAGTTCAAAGTATCTCACTTATTTTTCTCACACCAGTAATTTTCTTATTTAAAATGGGAAGAGATATGTATGCTGTATGTGCACTTAGCAATTGTCTGAGTCATCCCTTCTGAATTGTAGTATTTGTCAAGAATAAGGTAGGATATTTAATGATGAATAAATAACTGTATATAAGAGTTGGATATGGTCACTGCTTTTGTAAAAATTTGTAAAAATAATAAAGGCAGAATACGAGCGAACAAGCAAACAAACATGAGGCTGAAAGGAGTTACTTCAAAATCATATAGTTGACCAAATGGGAATCTCTGATACCTCTCTTCATGGAAAGCGAAAGAAGTCAAATTAACTGTTTTAGAAAAAGATTCGAGGGGCTAGAATGAGGATAAAGTAAAAAAGTCAAAGTTTTGTTTATTTCACTTTGTAGGGAACATACTATTATGAAGAGCACTTTCTTTAAAGATTATATAGATAGAACTACATGAGTGGTGTCCATAATTATACATTCAACCTAGCAATATCATAGGGGCAGGATCTCTGTTCTTAGAGGTGTTTTTCATCCTGAATAAATTGTTATAAAGACTTTAGAGTCAGATCTTTAAAGTTTCAGGAGGCATATTTAATCCAAATAAGCTCTATTTAAAAGTAATTATTTTCTGTAACATATGCCTTGTTTGAAGGAGTACCATCTTGAGTAGGTTGAACCATCTGTTATAGTTATGAGATACAATATCTTCTTCTTGAGACTGACAGAAAATAAAGAGGTTAGATTATTTCATTAATGAAATAAGCATCGGCTTATTAAAAACTCAATGTTGATAGACAGTCCTGTCAAAAGAATATCCACTGGGTCATGAAAAGATGGAAAAAATTAAATGACTGAACAAAATCAAAACTTTTAATATAAAACCAACCTAAGCTTTCTGTATTTATGAAAATGCCAGTCAGCCAGAAAATAGATCATATAGAAAAGGTATAGCTGAAAAAAACCCTTCTAAATGCTGAGGGCTACAGTAACTGTTATCTCCAATTCCACCCCTCATGATGTTTAAAATCCAGCATGAAAATGAATTTTTATGAGATTGAAAGCTTTCTCATGGTTTTGGGACATTTTATTTGAAAATGTATGGGGAAATGAGTGCCCCCTCAATTCCAAGTGATTACTCTAATTAGCTAGTTATAATTTTAATTTTAATGGAAAATTTGCCAGTGGTGTAATATTACTAAGCCAGAGATAGGGAAAAAGATAAAATTCATCTTTTCTCACTGGTTACTTACTGGTTGGTCTGCCCTATTGATTCCAATGAGGAACAGAAGTTCTGCCACAAACAAGCTGATGCACAAGTTCTTATGGATAGTGTTTCGGTCACTTTGGAGTCCGCGGAAGAAGCAGAAAGTAAAAATGCAGATCAGAAGGCAGACAAGGGACAGAAGAATGCCAACCCAAGTGATGACATCCAGGATCAGATCATGGACTGCATCTCCATGCTGCAAATAATTAAAAAAAAAATCATCAATTGACTCTCAAAATCTAAGAAAGCTTAATTGAGACACTTTGACATCTTTCTCTCACAAATGTATAGTGTGCATATTAACATAATTGAAGATGATGTTGTTTGCTTGTGTTTTTTCTTGCATTTGTTTCGCTTAAAAGTTAGTATCCTGAAAAGTATCATCTGAGTTTTGATCTCTGCTACACAAAGACAATGAACGTAAGTGACGCATATTATAGATTAATAGCATTAGCAATCTAGATCAAATCTGTGCTGCAGCATGAGACTTAAAGTGGGGTTCTTTGCTTTGGCAAATTTTTGAATAAAACAAGCTGCTTCAAAAACAAAGCAACCATGTTGCTTCACACCAGACTGCTTTGAACTCTCCTTAGACTTCACCTACATTGCTTGCACTATGGGAGAAAACAAAAGGAAGCTTTTCCTGGAAAGTAGTGCAGGAGAAGTCTGAGAGGAATTTTTGCTGAAAGTTTCTGAGGGTGCAACATCCTTGGTATGTTCTGAAGGTTTGCTAGGTCAGTCCCCAAACTTGGCAACTTTAAGACGTGTGGACTTCAACTCCAGAATTCTCCAGCCAACATAGTTAAAGTTGCCAAGTTTGGAGACCTCTGAGCTAGGTGGACAATTTTGGTCTATGAGATCCTGAAGTTACCGTATCTGGCCTAGAATACTTTTAGCCAGGGCTGCAGGGGAATGCTGAGAGGGTCTTTCTCCCACTGAATCTGGTCTGAAGTATCTAACATTATCTGAGTTATTTCAAAGAAGTAAAGCAGATTACATCTTCATTTCAGTAAAGAAAACGGCATCATCTCCAAGGCAAAAATTGCTTAAATGAAATGAATCTAAATCACTTTGCACAGGCCAATTATAGATCAATATGATATTGGTCCTTAATTAGTTTTGCTTCATGGACCCCTATGAGGTTTTTGATTATTCACTGATTATTTTAATAAATTATATTTTTTTAATTCTCTGCCTGCAATATCGAGGGATCCCACTGAGATTCTGCCAGAACTGAGGTAGGTTATAAATATTGTTAAATAAATGAATAAATGAAATGAAATATTTAGAGAGAATAATGATTGCATTTTTCATCCTTTCATATTGGCAATGTTTTAAAGTATGGTAATTCATTTCAAGAAGATAAAAGCCATCAACGTTAAAATGAATTTCCACTTTTTAAATTATTATAGTATAGATTAAATACATATATATACATATACTTATATATATATCCACACACACATATATATTTATATGATTTAAATATTATATATAGTATTAGAATATTAAGAAGGCAAAGCTAGCAATGTTGAAAATGCAAATTTTAACATGATTATCCAATATTTTGCATTTGATTTCCACCTGACTGACTGTTCACATTATTTTCATCTGTAATTATATGTACTGCAAATCAAGGTCGTACATCTATTAAAATTACGAAGGATAGAAGAAAAACTTATTCACCTTTCTCTTTGCTTTTAAAAACTATTTATCTCAAAAGAACCTATTTTTCAGGTTTCCTGTAATAGAAATACATTACATGTTGAAATAGAAATCCTTATCTTGAAAGTCTAACTTTATATATTAGTAAGACAATACTGCAGCCATAAGTAGATTGAGTAAGCTTCCCCTCAGCATGAAATCCTTCCACAAGTTTGAATTGAAACAGATGTTGAATGAATTCAATTAAATTAACTACAATGTTTTCCTTCTCTAGTATTCGAAGCAGCCACTTGCCTATCTGCAGGCATAGATCCATTTTCATTCCTGCTATAATTTGGTGTTCATGTCTTTGAAGTATCATTAGAACTTGAATTCAACCTAATAAAATGTGTTTTTCTCCTTAATATGTATAACTTGCTCAAATTCCATGGTATATAATAGGACTGCATGAGGAATTTGTTTAGAAGGACCCTTCCCAGAGATGCTGGCACAATTATTTTATTGTTCATCTTACAGAACAGTTGATTTAATTGTCAGCTCAATGACAAGTCAGAGTGAATAATTCCTTTGTTTTTTGTCCTAAATTTATATACCTTCTGGATTTAACAGAGAAGCCTTGTTTTGTATTCCAACTTCCCCAGAATCTGTCTCTATCAATTAACTGGCTGTATCAACATTTTGAGGGATCCAGCAGTGATAGAGACCAAAGATTGTGAACATTTTAGTTCCTTCAATGTAGAGATAATCACTATGTATTCTTTCTGCAGGAGAGCTTTATAGAAATTAATTCATCTTTGTTCCTCTGCCTCATTTGTCATCTGTTTTTTTCATGTAATGAAATTTTGATGATTAAATTTGCCCTTGAAAAGGTTGGGAAATATAGCAATATCACTGTTTAATCATGGGTATCTATAATACAACCAATCCAATAGCATCAAAACTATCAGTGCCATCTCATTGGCACAAGGGGGCAGATACAATCTGAGTATAGCATACATCAAAACTTGCCACCCAGGCAGAGGGGTAGAAAGCAATGGTGAGACTGATAAATATTCTTATGACAAAAGCTCTCGTCATACTCATCAGCTCTCGTCATACTCATTTGTTAGACATCCTATCCCTATCAAAATCCATATATGTGTAGGTCAAGCACTCCCTTAGTCTTAGGAAATCCCGCTAGCATTACTGATTCTAGGACACATCCAAATGGGATCTTTTGCCCCAAATAGACAATTATTCTACAAACTGAACAGCAAACCTATGGGAAAAGTGTTACTATCAGAGGGTTTATATCATTTCCTAATATTTGAACTAGCATGTACTTACACACTTAGACATTACAATTCTTGAAAGATGCCATTTCATCAGTATTGAATGAAGTGGCACCTGTATTCCTCCCCCTCATACATTGAGAACAAAGAATCTTGAACAGTGCAAAGTTCATTTTAAAGAAAAAAATAAATTTGGATAAAAAAGAATATGACTTGAAGTAATTTAATATCTAAACCGTACAAGGAAGATTTACACCAAGGAGAATTTTGCAAATCATATAAACACAAAACATGAACCTCGTTTCTGGCAGACAGCAAATTTATAATACAAGTACACCTTTTCAGATAACCACTTTTGATTGAAAGCTGGATTTTAATACATAACTAGAAAATGGATGAAAATATGACAGTGATAGAGTATTATGGTGGTAATGCCCATGAAGGGAATCAATGAACTCAAAACAGCAGAAATTCTCCTCCAGCAGAAAATTGCTTCACCGCACACATAATATACTACATGATATCACAACTCTACCATTCATTCACTCTATTAGCATAAGCAGCAATTATATTATTATAATTATTTTTGCTAGCAAAACAGCTCTGTCAGTGTAATGTTCTGCTTTGTAACTGAGGTATTGCTCAAATATGGGTCACGAATGTAATACTGCCTTCTATTGGCATAGGACTGCTTCCACCAAATCCTAAGGTGAAATCCTGGTGAATTTTGAATATACCTTGCCTTATTCCCTTGAACATTTTAAAGTCAATATTCCATTTAATTGAATACTAAGATTCAATATGTTAAACATATCTTTAGGCAGACAATCTATGCAAAAATATCCAGAATCAGGATTAGCCTGAAATGTAGCTTTTCCTATGGAATCCAAGTTTTAGCTGTTAATCATGTAACAGAAAAAGTCTGGTGGTGCCTTTTATAAGACAACACATTTTATTGAAAGTCACAAGTAAAAAACAAAGGAAGGAAAGAAGGAAACAGTTTTTTAAAAAATGTCACTTATATCCCCCTTTTTTCTTATTAGTCATATCACACACCAGGTCATTATATCACTTGCCCAATGTGTTGGAGTCCTCTAGATCAATGGTCGCCGACCGGTGGGCCGTGAGAAAATTTTGGTGGGCCACAGATAAATCTCACCTCTAGAGCACCCCTCCAAAGCAATTAATCCAGGCTGCGCAGAAACACAAGGCTGCTCAGCTCACATGGCCCACGGGAACCCTCCCTGCCCACTCACTCCTTACCCGGCAAACTTGGCTGCTAAGTTGCTATTTTTCCTTTTTGCAACCATCATCTGTTCTGCTGTGCCAGGAGATTTAGATTAGCTAGCAAGCAGGAAATGGTTGGATTTCTTGCTTTCTAGCTAGTCTTTAGATCTTCGGCTCAGCACAGGCGAACCTCCCTTAGGACTGAAGTTTTGCTTGCAAGCAAATTCAGTGCAGAGTCACGGCAAGCAAATTTGAGAGACTGAGCTAGCCGATGGCAGATAGATCACTGAATGATTCTGTGAGCAACTCAATCTGCCTGCTTTGCCTGATATTGGGTAAAAGTTGCTCTTTTTTAAAATAAAAATTTCAATATTTACATACATGGTGTGTTGTGAGTTAATTTTGTGAGTTCGTTAGCAAATTTTGTGAGTTTGCTTGCAAGCAAATTTTATGTGACAGACTGAGCTAGCCAATGGCAGATAGATAGATCTCTGAATGAATCTGTGATTCTGTGAGCAACTCAATCTGCCTGCCTGCTTTGCCTGATTTTGGGTAAAAGTTGCTCTTTTTATAAAAAATTCAATATTTATATAAATATTTATAATATTTACATACAAGCCATGCCCAGCCAGTCACATGACCATCAAATGGACCCACAAATTAGGCCACGCCCACAGAACCAGTTAGTGGTCCCTGGGATCTAAAACTATGAGTTTGGTGGTTCCTGAGGTCCAAAAGGTTGGTGACCCCTGCTTTAGATTCTCTTCAAACTTTAATCTCAGTTCATTTCTTGACATCCTTCTTAAGTTAACAATTATATCCTTTGGTTTCCACAATAATTGCTCCAAGTGAATTTATTCCAAATGACTGTGGCTAAGAAGTAACTAAGAGAAGTTAAATGGGAAAATTTAGAAAAAAATCCTCTTAAACTGATACTATGTACTTGATTAATATGAGAAGTTGAGAAAGGAGTAAGAATAAATGATCACAAAGCAGATGATAGGGCTTGATTACCAAATGTTTCATTCAATGT